CTGTTTTTTATGGAGTTTTATTGAATAAATATCTATCATTTTTAACATCCAGTAATTTTCTCCTTTAGTCTTGTAAACCTGATGAAAAGCTACATCACTGAAGAAACTAATAATAATACAACAATCAACTCTTAATAGTGTCTCTTTGTTTTCTGTTTTTTTTTAGATTTATTGAATAAATGCTTATAATTTTTAACATCCAGATTCATTATTTACTTTAATCTTGTAAATCTGATCAATGGATCATAACTGAAGAAAATAACAATAAGAACAACAATCCACTTTTCTAAAAACCTGCCAATGGTTAGTGTTGCAATGCTGTGATGATGTTCACTGTAGATTATTTCTAATGATTCTTCAAAATTTTAAATAAACCTCCTGCTGTTATATATATAAAAAAAAAAAAGGAAATTACCTTATTGTCCCACAATTGGAAATTTGTTCTCTGCATTTTCACCCATCCCCTTGGGGAGCAGTGGGCTGCCATTGTTTGGCGCCCGGGGAGCAATCAGTGCTTGAAGCTATTAGTGCTTCAAGGAAAGTAAGGTGGCCAGAATAAACCTGCAAGTTCAACAAAACTATTTGAAAAAGGTCCCTAACTGTTAAATTCATTTATTGAACTTCTCCACAAAAGGCTTAATTGTTGAAATAGAAGAAGTAGAAACCACCAGAGCAACAGCTTCTGGTAGCTTTTGTCTGTTGTATGGAACTAACACCTAACTGACCACATATATAAAAGCCAGATATAGATGTGTGTAGAAAGAGCAAATGATAATGGCTGATGTGGAACAGAGAATGAAGTCATAATGAAGAAGTAACACCTTCCAACCCACAAACAGCAGCTCCTATATTCATCCGTTACCTCTATAGACTGACTCATTTGTTAAAGTATCTGCAAGAGAAACAGAGGAACCATGATCCCTTCTAGAGAGACACAAACATCTTTATTGATGATTATGATGCTTTACTTTACAGGTAAGATCATGACTGATGGTTTTAAAAACCTTAACCTTAAGCTGATATATTATTGGCTAAAACTGAAAATTTCTCTTGGCCAAAAAAAACCAAACATGTTTATTGTAATTTAACAAACTTTTGTGAGTATTTATCTCCTATCATTTATCAGAACAAACAGTAAAGCAGTTTTCTTCTTGACTATAACTGTTTTTATCTGGAACAGCTACTGTATCTGTAAATCAGTTGACATTTAAGTTTGACCAAAAAAGCTATCCAACCACATTTTGAAACATAACTGCAAAATGATAAAACTATTTATTATCTTTTTTTTTTTTATGTCTGAAATCTTCATCTACTTTAGAGGCTGAACAACAACAGAAAGATAAAATCATCTTTAGATGCTTGGTGAGGGAATATAGCTCCTGTAAACACACAGTAAAGTGGCTGTATGAAGATGTGGAGAAAAGGTTTTCACACATAGAGAAATCAGAAAAGTCCCGCTCTGCTAGTGTGACGTTTCCAACATCAATCCATGACTGGAAGTCAGACTTTCCTCCAATCTTAAAGTGTAAAGTGACAGATAGTCAGACTAAATAAGAGCAGCTGATTGACTTCAGGGTTCAGTCAACTGCTGGAAGAACAGGTGAGAAATTTTTCATTTACTCAGAATAAAAAATAATTTAAAGATGTAAACTTAAAATTATTACACCTTTCTATTTCAACATCTAATTCTGAACAGTTTTAAACTGCATAATTTTTACTGTATTTTTTTCATATATGGAATATACAAAAGTAACAGGAATAATGACCAAAACACAGCCACATACCATCACATCAACAGCAGAATCAAACAAGTGGACATCATCAAATAATTCATCAACAAATATCAACCATTCATCTGAAGCCAAAGGTAGTGACTGAATATCTTGAAGCTCAGAGCCTCAATATTAAGTTCTCTATTGCAGGTATGTTTCAGTATTATTGTTAATCAATGACTGTGTGCAACTATTGATTCTTCTATCAGGGTGGATTTGGTTGAACGTTATTCGTCCTGTGGGTTTGGCAGCCATGATAATATCTGTTGCAGTGATCATCAGATGGAAGAAAACAGTAGGTGAAAACATCTTTTCTTCATCCTAAATTTTTCTTTCCAGCATGAAGGATTTTTTTTTTCTTAATTTAAAAGTAATAATCATGTTATGATTGACATTTAAACACAAATATATCAAAAGGTCATTGTGTTGATCAACAGAAAACATGAAGGCATAAAGATTTTATCAGCATAACAAGTAAACCTAAATATTTTCTCTTTTTTTCAAGTAAAAGAACAATATATGAAGAAAAAAATAGAATGAGTAAATCACTGAATTATATATTTTTACTACAACAAAAAAATTCGTTTTTAAAAGGGTATTCTTTTTTATCTATTTAAGAGTTGTACTTGACAGAGGCATCACTGTTTAAAGCCTGTTAATGTCAAAATATTACTTTACTGTCGTTGGTATTTATTTTAACTCATGCTGCCAATGATTTTCTTCTCAATACCGTAAACTTCGTTTCTAAAGAATTGTGTGCAGACATCACACCTGAGAGCTAAATGAATGGGTTATTCAACAGAGCAATGAGTTTGTGTAAGTCTAACAACCATGCTTAAATAAAGATTTTATCATCCTAGTTCCTCCTCTATCAGTGATGAAAAACATGCTGTTCTTTCCTAGAGATTTTTTTTTCATTCATATGCAATACTCTGGTTTTAATTTACCTTATTGGTCATTTAAAAACTACAATATGTATATCCATCCATCCATCCATGTTCTGACACGCTTAATCCAAAGTGGGGTCGCGAGGAGTGCTGGTGCCTATCTCCAGCTGTCTACGGGCGAGAGGCGGGGTATCCACTGGACAGGTCGCCAGTCCATCGCAGGGCAACACTAACCTGACTCTGCCAGATGGATTTGCTCCACATATCATTCTGGAAACCTTCCATTGAAGTAATTTTGGGAAGGGGCGAAAATACTGGTAAGCTGATTGGCCTATGTTGGTGATAGACGGGCCAAATAAGCCAATCAGATCAACGAAGCATATGACGTACTAACAGCGCGACGAAGCCACAAGCCAGGCTACTCTTGCCGAAACAAGTCGGGAGAAGAGCAAAAACATCTTTTCCTCTGAGAAAAGCCTCCAGAGAAGTGTTTTGCTCTTCTTTCAGTGAAGAAATACTCTGTAATTCCGATAAAACTTGCTCGATAGCCACGCTAACGCTAGTTTCATCGGCTGAAGCCGCCATGTTCTTTAGACTGAACTGTCGCGCTTCTCGTTGCGTCACACCTCAACCCGCCTCAAAGTCAACGCTGATTGGACGTTCGTTTGGTGAACGGCTCCAAATTTTCTTCAACGGAGAGTCTCCAGACTGATCTGCGAGTGAAACCTTGAAAGCTCGCGAGATCAGGATGGTCTCACGAGGCTAGGGCAACACAGAGACAACAATATGTATATATGTAAAGGAAAAAAGTCTAAAGCCTAAAAGTCTAAAACTTTGAATTTTTCAGGATATTGGTTGAAGAACTATAACTGAACTTATAAAGGATATATAATGCTGTGATTGTGTGGTTGTGGGTTTGTGGACAATTGCGCAGAAAACCAGAGCATAACAGCTTGATAAGGATTCTAGAGATTTATTAGCTTAAAATCAGACTGAAACACTGGAACAACACAGAGGAGCCACTAAGAAAAGGAGGGAAATGACAACTGAAGTAGAGGAGAACATTGGTGCAGGTAGAAAGGGAGACACGGATGAACTGAATCTACTCATTACTGAGGATCTGAGTGAGGAAAAATGTCACAATATGGAGAATATGGTGAAAAAACAAGAGAGAGATCATCCAAAAATATACTGTAAGCATAATCACCAACTAAAGTAAAGACACACCGACTAGAAGCACTAAAAAAGAAAACAAGAAAAACAGACTAGAAAAAAACTGATAAAAAGATAAACGAACCAAACTAATATTAGTAGAAGACTTCTAATAACTAAATAGCACAATACAGGATTTTTACAAAAAATATACACAGTAAATTGTATTTTAAACATATTCATCTGTATTTTTGTTCTTCTGTTTTTATAGGTCTCTCTAAAACTTGAAGCATGTGAAGGATCAACCTAATTGTCTCACTGTGCTCTTTTATAGCTATTAGTAAATATATATATGTATATTAATAAGATGTTCCTATTTTCTATGAGTAAAGGACTGCTGATAACTAGCTTAAATATTTTTTTCTTATGTTGAGGCATCAAACAAAAGCATATTTACTGTATCTAATAGTTTCTACTCTGATGTGCTTCCTTCTGCTGGTTTAAAGCAATATATTTACATTTTACAGTAAAAAGCTGATGTTAGTAGCAGGTGATGTCATTTTATCAGATAGTCATTTGTAAAAACTGTCCGTTAATAGTTTCTCTTTGTTTTCTGTTTTATGGAGATTTATTGAATAAATACTTATCATTCTTAACATCTAGATTCATTCTTTCCTTTAATCTTTTAAACCTAATCAATGGTGCTTAACTGAAGAAAATAGCAATAAGAACGACAATCCACTTTTCTAAAAACCTGCCAATGGTTAGTGTTGCTATGCTGTGATGAAGTTGACTGTAGATTATTTCTGATGATTCTATAAAATTCAAAATAAACCTCCTGCTGTTATATTAAAAAAAAAATGTAAATCCCTTTATTGTCCTACCATTGGGAAAATTGTTCTTCGCATTTTGACCCATCCCCTTGGGGAGCAATGGGCTGCCATTGTGTGGCGCCCGGGGAGCAATCATTAGTGCTTAAAGCAATTAGTGCTTGAAGGAAAGTAAGGTGGCCAGAATAAATCTGCAGGTCAACAAAATTATTTGAAAAAGGTCTCTAACTGTTAAATTAAATTTAAACTTCTTCTCAACAAAAGGCTTAATTGTTTAAATAAAAGAAGAAGAAACCACCAGAGCAACAGCTTCTGGTAGCTTTGTCTGCTGTAAGGAACTAACACCTCACTGACCACAGATATAAAATCCAGATATAGATGTGTGTAGAAAGAGCAAATAATAAATGGCTTATGTGGAACAGAGAGTGAAGTCATTGTGAAGAAGTAACACCTTCCAACCCACAAACAGCAGCTCCTATATTCATCTGTTACCTCTATAGACTGACTCATTTGTGAAAGAAGCTGCAAGAGAAACAGAGGAACCATGATCCCTTCTAGAGAGACACAAACATCTTTATTGCTGATTCTGATGCTTTACTTTACAGGTAAGACCATGACTGATGGTTTTAAAGAAACATTAAGGCTGTTATAGTATTGGCTAAAACTGAAAATTTGTTTTGACCAAAAAAACAACAAGTTTTTTGTAATTTAACAAACCTTTCTCTCTCAAAATGTCTCACATCTGAAACAATAAACAGCAGAATATTTATTGTACTAATTATTTCTCCTTTTTCTGAAAAGCTTCTTCTGATGCAGATCTGCGCTTGATGGTCAGAGTCGGTGATGAAGTTGCTTTGGCTTGTAGAAGTGATTTCTATATCAGGGGTGGCTGTGAAACCATAACCTGGTTGTTCACTTCTACGAACCCAACAGTAAAACTGTTTGAAACTGGACAGATTCACCAAGAAGCAGCAGCTAAATCAGACAGACTGAGTGTGACAGCAGACTGTTCTCTGGTTATAAAGAAGGTCTCACTGGAAGATGTTGGCCTTTACACCTGCAGAAAACAAGGATCAGACTTTAATATCAGTCTGTCTGTTATTCACAGTGAGTATTTTTATCTCCTATGATTTGTCATAGGAGTAGACTTTAACTATTCTTATCTGGAAAAGCCACTTTGTATCTGTAACTCAGTTTACTTTTCAATCGACATAACATCATGCTTTTAAGATTCTCATGATAACAATGAAAAAAATATTTAAAAAATAAAAATAATTTTATTTATCTACAAATGCTCTTTACCTTCCTTTTTGCAGTTCTACAATATCTGCATTTGAAAGCCAGAGTTGGTGATGAAGTCACTTTGCCTTGTGAAAATATTAACCATGACTGTAAAACCATCACCTGGTTGTTCACTTCTAAGAGCCAAACAGTAAAACTGTTTGAAACTGGAAAGATTCACCAAGATGCAGCAGCTAAATCAGACAGACTAAGTCTTACAGCAGACTGTTCTCTGGTTATAAAGAAGGTCTCACTGGAGGATGCTGGTATTTATGCCTGCAGACAGTTTATAAATGGACAACCAGGGTCAGACTCTAAAAGTCTCTGGTCTGTTATTCACAGTGAGTATTTATCTCCTATCATTTGTCTGAACAAACAGTGAAGCAGTTTTCTTCTTTACTTAAATTATTCTTATCTGGGACAGCCACTTTGTATCTGTCAGTCAATCTAATTTACTTCCACATATGTCAGGCTTCAATAATTGTCATGTTAAGAAAGTAAAAGATTCATTATTTTATTGGTCTTCAGATGTTCTTTCCTCTCTTTTTCTTGGCAGTTCAACAGGATCTGTATTTGACAGCCAGAGTTGGTGATGAAGTCAGTTTGCCTTGTGAAAATATAACTCATGACTGTAAAACCATCACCTGGTTGTTCACTACTAAGGACCAAGCCACAACACTGTTTGAAACTGGACAGATTCACCAAGATGCAGCAGCTAAAGACAGACTGAGTGTTACAGCAGACTGTTCTCTGGTTATAAAGAAGGTCTCAGTGGAGGATGCTGGTCTTTATACCTGCAGACTGTTTATAAACGGACAACAAGGACCAGACTTTAAGAATAATATGACCGTTATTCACAGTGAGTATAAACAATACTAATGTTTGTCCAAAAAAAGCTATGCAAGAACATTTTGAAACATAATTACAAACTATTTATTGCGTTTTTTTTGTCTGAAATCTTCATCTACTTTAGAGGCTGAACGACAACAGGAAGATAAAATCACCTTTAGATGCTTGGTGAAGGAATATATCTCCTGTAAACACACAGTAAAGTGGCTGTATGAGGATGTGGAGGAAAGGTTTTCACACATAGAGAAATCAGAAAAGTCCTGCTCTGCTAGTGTGACGTTTCCAACATCAATCCATGACTGGAAGTCAGACTTTCATCCAATCTTAAAGTGTAAAGTGACAGATAGTCAGACTAAAGAAGAGCAGCTGATTGACTTCAGAGATCATTCGACTGCTGGAAGAACAGGTGAGAGCATTTTTACACGAAAAAAATCTCAAAACAAGTACAAATTTCTTTAAGTGTATTTAATTAAAGTAGGCAAATGAGGTAGTTTGCCAATGGAATGGCTATTTTTACTCTTAAAATAAGATCATTAGATAATATGCACTTAAAATAAGACAATGCAATTGTGTTTTCTTATTTTAAGTGTAAATTGTCTTGTTCCATTGGCAAGATTTCTCTTTTCTCTCCTCAATCCAAGAACAAATGCACTTATTTTAAGAAAAAATGACTTATCTAGATTTAGATTTGTTCCAGTGTATGAAATGTAAATAAAAATGAAAATGTAAATTCACACTTAAACACTTGTCTTTTACTGACCAGTTTATTTATTTTTTACATTTCTCAATGATTCAGACTCAACAGTTGGACCAACCAGTATAAAGACGACCACAAGCAAACAACCACCTACAACACAACCAGCACAAGGAATTATGACTCAATCAGCAACAACAGCAGCAGACTTAAACAAATTGACCTCTATAGGAATAAATTCATCTATAAACATCAACAATTTATTAAAAACTCAAGGTAGAAACTAAATAGCTTTGACCTTTGACCTTTCTTCTTGTTTTTGGTATTTCTGTTGTTCAAGAGTTTTTGCTTAAATAATGTTTCTTCTTCCAGTTTGGTCTTGGTTGTTCATTGTTGGTTCAGCAGCGCTCATAATAACTGTTCTAGGAGTCATCAAATGGAAGAAAACTAAAGGTGAGGACACCTTTCCTACCGCCTAATTTGTTCAGGATTGTGTAAATTTCCAGAAACAGAAATTATTTGTGCTCTAAATGGTAAAAATACTGAACTGATCACCAGTTTTGTATTTTTCAGGAAACACAACCAAAAAGAAAGAAGAAAATAAAGTGAATGAATCACTGAATGATGACACATTGATTTCAATGGAAAAAGAGGTTTTTATTTATTTTCTATAAATGTGTATTATAAAATATGTTTCCATAGAGCACATAAATCCTTTGTATAAGTATTTTTTTATCAGCATAATTTTGAAATATATAATTATAGAGTTTTACTGTTCTCAACGTTTACTGGTAGGAGAAGCTTATAAACGTGTTAGAAATAAATACATTTAGTTTTCCAGAAGTAAAATCTCTGATCATATCTTAACTTTAAATGTTATCATATGAATTCATTTCTGTCATTGCTAAATTGCTCCTCAAAACTAAACAGGCTCTCAAGTGAAACATTAATTTACTTTCCAATTATTTTTATTTATTATTTAATAAATCATGCACTTATCCATGTATTGTCTTTACCTACTTATCTCTGCAGGGTCCTTAATAACATATACACATAACAATTGTTTTTATAAAAATGGTTTAACTGAAGCTTTTCTTTTTATTCAAACCATACGTTCTGGTCTTAACCCCTTAAACTCAAATCAATCATCTATTAACTTCAGTTTTCCTGTGGATCATTGGTCTTTTCTTATATTCTTTCTCAGAAATAGACAAAGATATGGCCTCCATGAGACTTTTGATCTTTATTAGTAGGAAATGAAAACATGAAAGTAATTAAACAAAATTTAGTCTTGATTACTGTCAAAATGATGAAGAGAAAAAATCAAAATAACTGGAACAGTAACAGACAAAGCTGGACTGAGACCTGCTAACAGTGATCATGATGGTGAGAGAGATAAAAGAATGTCCGTTGTCAGGAAATTTTTGATCTGAAATCGAGAAGATACTCTAAAGATTATCCAGAATCTGCAAATAAAGTAATTTACCAAGATGTTTTAAGACTGAACCAAAGCTGTTAGGACACAGTAGGATTAAACCTAAAGACTAAAGTCACATAAATTCTCAGATATTGGAAAACATAATTGCTGCCATAAACCAAAACAAGTGTTGAATGTTTTGGCCTGCAGACGAAAGCAGCTTCAATGATGACAATTCTGCTGTTTTCTGTGTGCAGAAGGATTCTGAGGATAATGTCCCCTATGCCTCCATCATTCCTACCATAAGGGCCAAAAAGACCAAGAATAAAACCACAGTGAGTTTATTGTTCTACTATGATGTAGAAAATGACTAGCAAAGAATAGCAAAAGAAAATTATGTGTCATAGAGTCATATGCATAATACCGCATCAAATTTTTTTTTTTATGTTTATCTGTATTTTTCATGTGATCTTTCTTTTTAGATCCCTGATGCTGTGATATACAGCACTGTGAATTCTTCCTCTGCTCAGGTGACCTTTGATCCCAACGGTCTCTACTCTACAATCAGTAAATAAGGGTCATCAGTTGTTGTTTTAAAAGTCAGGTGAATTATTTCCATCTTAAAGAAGCAGTATAACAAACAGCTTTAATCCAATTAAATCTTTAATGAATATTTTTCCAGGGAATTTGTTTTAAATGATCTCCATAGAGGAGTAGAGCCTTCTAGAGGAGAAAGCATAAAACAGAAACTCAGCATGTTCATGTGTATGCATGTGTGTTACATCCATTTTAACTAAAGTAATATTGTTTTTCTAATGGTTTTTAGATCAGCTTGAAGGCTTTGCACTATTTCTGTAAATAGTTTATTTGATATGCTTTCACATGATGATCTTCTATGCTTTATTTTATGCATGACCACAATAGTATAAATACCTTGGAACGTTGTGGTTTCTCACTTTGAGAAAGAAATGGCCGCTTAATGTTTCCATGATGTCAGACATGTTGAAGGTCAAATCTAAAAAAAAAAGGCCAGAACCAGATGCTGTTGACATTCTCACATTTAGGCCAGCTCCATTATAGACTGAAAGTAGCACCTTTATAACCACAAACTTTGCTGCATCTAATGATCTTTAATGTCAAATTTATCCTCATTAACGTGAGAAAAAAGATCTTGACAGTTCTCTGGGGAAATATCTTCAACCCATAACTCTTCGCTCTTTTATATCATTCTAAATGTTCTTTGTAGATTTTAACCTTTTATTTTGATGTTAAGATGACTTAGAAATATATCATATTGAACTTTTACAGCCTGTAGCAAAAAGCTTCCTGCAGATGGAAAAGACAAAGAAAGATTGTTCAAAAAGGAGTCATAAAGAAGCTCCAACAATGCTGTGGAATCACATGACCCATGTTTTGTCTTTAAAGAAATTAGGATATTTCTCACATCTTGTATTAAAGTGTCCATAACAATTGACAATTTTTCTATTTCCCTGTATGCAACAGTAGAATTTTTTTCTTTGCTTTCTTTCTTTTTCTACTGAAAGACAAAAATTCAGTTCTGATACTGTATCTTTTTAAGTGTCTTGAAATCACATTAGTTTGGAATTCTGACACTTTTGCTGATTATTTTGGAAGTCATTTTTTTACCACTAGGTAAAGCATATTGACAATGTTTATTTCTTTAAATGAAATGAAATATTTCTGCTTTGGTTGCTTCATGCCATCTAAACTTTATTGTAACTGTAAATAAGCAGAATTAAAAAGAAGACAGATACTGGCTGCTTGTTTTCAGATTAACTGTGTCATGATGGGTTTCTGGTTGCTAGCCCATATGCAGAACACAACTCAGAGACAGGGAAAAAGTTTAAAGGTTTAATTAGAAAAGGTGCAAACAGATCAGGGGGGATAATCATTTCCAGGGCTGGTCACGGCTGGGTTACTGTCCTGGAGCTTGAGCAGAGCAGCAGAGGGGGAGGATACCAGGAGGGTTCAGAGGCTGACGGCAGGCTGAGGGCTTGGTGGAGGCTTAGCTTGGCTACGGCTTGTAGATCTCCAGGTTTGGGTTCCCCTTCCAGATACTTCTGAGAGTCGGCTGGCAGGTCCTTGGCAGGTTTGGTTCTCCAGGGTTCTTCTGAGATCAGACAGACAGATCTCCAACAGAGAGAATTTCCAGGGGTTTCTGGTTTCAGACTGGTTCAACCTGGGAAACAGAGAAGACAAAGGATCAGGTTCAGGTTCAGGTCTCGTAGTCAGGAGACTAGACTGACTGGTTGACTCAGGGTTTGCTGTACCGTGACTGACTAAACACTCTGGCACTGGAGTGAGGTTCTCAGCCCGCTTAAGTACTGGTCTCCTGATGAGCAGATGAAGAACAGGTGGTGAAGTCAGCTCCAGCCTCAGGAGATCCAGTACGCCCTCTGGTGGAGAAAGGTAGACAGACCCCCAGATCCCAACAGAAACACAAACCCTCAGGAAGGGATCCTCTGCGCCCTCTGGTGGGCAAGCCTCAGAATCCCAACAAACTAATATCTTCACACTTTGGGGTATTTGTTTCAAATATGGCTGTGTCAGATACATAAACTTTCCACTGTTCATATCAGAGTTTGACCCATTTTGGTACATTATGAGAGCCTTTAATGGTATATGATCAAAGTTCCTGGAATATCCTAAATAAAGCTAATTCACTTTAATACTTTTTTTTAAATTCATTATTATGTTATATAGAGTCACTAATAGAGGACAATACTATCAATGATTTTATTTCTGTTAAATTTAGCTATGGTGGCTTGCAGCTAATAAGAGCCACATTTTTGCCAGAAAATAACATTTAGATGGATTAAAAAGATTTATAAATATAAAGGTTTTACTATGGTCACACACTCCATAGAACAACTCCTGACTTCAGAGAAAAAGCCCCTGTGATCAACAGGGTTTAATCAAATTTTAAAGTAGCACAGATTTTGTCATGATGCGATGGTTTTACTAGCCCAAATGCAGACTCACAGACACAGAGGGAGGATTAAAAGTCCAGTAATTTATTGGAACCGGTTGACAGACTCACAGATTAGCAGAATCAGACAGGCATGGTGGCACAGGAAACACAACGATCCAGCACAGAGGGAAGTTCAGACTCAGCTTATATAGGGAGCTTCCTTAATCAGCAGATGGAAAACAGCTGATCCAAGCTGAGCCCAAACTCCCCAGGCATGGATCCACAGCGCCCTCTGGTGGGCAAAGCCCCGGATCCTGACAGATTTCTTCTTTCTGGAGGCTTCAAGGATGTTCTGGATTAACTGTATTTTCCAGTAGGTTGTTGAACCTGTACAAACTGCCAAACAGTAAAAATGCCCACTTTATTTGCTGTGGTATTAACAGCAAAGTAGCCTGACCTAAAGAAGGACATGGTAAGATGATGTTCCAATGTACTGTTGATAGGTTAACCTTTTTATCATTTCTGTGGAGTGAACATCTGGATCAGAAAGTATTTTCTTTAGTTAAAAAATGTGCAAATACTGACAAATTCACACTGGGGGCCGGATTTATCAAGATCCAATTTTGCGTGCAGTAATTTGCGCTCGCAAACTGGAATTTTGCGTGAGGGGCTGAACCATGATTTGCGGGTGATTTAACAAGACCGATTGCGTAACTGGTGGCAGGTGCAAAACTGTTGGAGACGCCCTATTTAAATGATGGTTTTGCGCGTTTTGTGGTTTGCGGCATGGCGAGTTTGGACAGCAGAAGGCGCAAAAGGAAATTCGACCCCATGGAAATGGAGGTGTTGGTGGATGAAGCCAACAAACATTTAAGTGAGCTACAGCAAAGAAGTGTGACTGTCACACAGAGGAACGCTATTTGTGAACAAATCTGTAATAGAGTAAACGCTGTTGGTGAAACCTTGCGATCAGTGGATGAAGTAAAAAGAAGATACCAGGATATTAGAAGGTGAACCAAAGAAAAACTGGCATATAACAAAACATCTGCGAACAAAAGAGGAGGGGGCACAGTAGATGAGATGCCTCTGACCAGCATTGAGGAACAAGTACAGCTGACGCTCTGTGAGGAGCAAATCACTGGAATTGCAGCTCCAAAATGGCAATGCTGGATAAATGTGGAAAAAATGCGTTCTCTGCGTCTCCTTGCTTCATTTCGATGTCTCCTTCTTGCGACAATAACCGCTGCCATGTGTGCGCAATTACGCATACAGACCATTTGCACCTTCTTTTGAAACGTGTTAAATATAGAGTCAGATACCGTTAGCAAAATTGCTTTCAGGTTTGATAAATCACTTTGCGAGTGCTAAATTAATATATTTACATGTTCTCCTCCCACAAGACGCACTTTTGCGTGTAAACGCCCCATATTGCATATTCATTGCAGAAAAAGTACTAAATGGATAAGAGGCGCTATTTAGCACGTTTTAAAGACCAAATCCTTTTAGCACGCTGTTGATAGATCAGTTTGTACATTTTTTAGCGTGCGCAGTGAAATAGCTCACGTTTTTATACACGCAAACCTTTGATAGATCCGGCCCTGGGTGGAGAATATTTTATTTATCCTCTTTAAAAAATCTTCTTGAATAACTGGGATAATAATCGTTAACCAAAAAATGCAGCAGGTTATATTTATTGCACTTCTCCAACATGCTTATCAGTTTCTTGCCATAAGGTGGCACAAGGGATCCCTTAGAGGGCCTGTTTGTCACACTTTTACATTTATGAATTTTTTCAGAAACATCTGTGTAGTTAAGACCATCCCTACTAGAACAGTGAAATACTTTCTAAATAATAAACCATGGATCACAAGAGATCCGAAGAAACTGCTCAAAAACAAAAAACAAGCCTTTAGGGAGATGTAGAGGGGTGAAAAGCCAGTTTTTAGTGGATAAAACAAAGAAGTTGGAAAACAGGCACCCCAACATTATTTTTTTCGTTTTGTGTCTTTGATTTCTCATTTTATTAGATTATATGGTGTTATTCATTTAGTCCATGTAGTTCCGGCCGCGGCCGCTAGGGGGCGCTGACGCGTTGGCGGTGTGAAAAAGACTGAACACACAAGAATAATAAATCTTCCGGTTGAAGGTAAAGAAGCTCAACATGTGTGTTTCATCTTTCTCATACCACAGCACCACACGTTGAGGGAAAATCATCGCACACATTACCCTCAGCCATCCGAGGTTGCAGGGTAACAAATTTGGGGGCTCGTCCGGGATAGCACCTCCTGCTGGCTTGGTGCTATCTAAAAAAAAACAACAACCTTGGGATCCTGACCTTATGTTACATGAACTGATGCTCTAAGGGCAAGACATCAGGTATCCAGAGATGACGACGCTACATGAGCTTCAGTGGGAGATCCAGCAGCTGCTTCACCAACTGATTGATGACGCCAGAAGAGAGCTGCTTCACCAACTAGCAGTATCTTGCCAAGATGAGGTGGGAGAAGACGCGCCAGGGGAGGAGTCGTCCGAAGTGGAACTCTATGACTTCATTGTTGACTTTTTAAGAAGTAAACGATTGAGGAATTTGGAGGACCAAGGGATGTCGCGCCTGCTGGTGTTTCGTGACCTCGTTGATGAGCTACTGTCAGCACAAGAAACAGAGAACCAGCATCATTCAGTGGTTGTAGACAAAGTGGCATC